GCGGGCCCAGCCGCTGCTGTGGCGTCAGGGCGCCCATTCGCCTGAGTGCACGGGCACTCTCCGGAGACCGGCCGGAGAGAGAGAGAAGAGAGCACCCCCGTGGGGAATGGTGCGCTCTAGCCCCTCCGCACTCCCCACGTTTCCAGACTTTGGGTGCACAGGTGCGTGCGCAGCGTCAGCCCGTGGGACCCAGGTCTCCTACCCAGACACCACCAGCCCGTCAGCTGAGGCCGCACCTCTCTCACACCCCTCCCCTCCAGTGCCCTCTCACTGCCCGGCCCTGTCTGGACAGGACGTGACGTGTCGTCATGGCATTTTTGCCATTTTTGAAAATGACGTTTTTCATCACGTCTTGTTTTTGCAGAAAGTGTTGCCGTAGGGCGTGCGTGGTCATCGTCTCAGACCCCTGGCTGTGGTGGGCCCAGCCTTTGCTTGGTTGTGATGACTCCGGTGGTTCTGTTTCGGTTTTCAGGTTTTCTCTGTGGGGTGCGTGCACTTGCTGGGGACAGGGAGAGGGAGAGTAAGAAATCACCCCCAGGGAGACGGCCACTCTGCAGCACTTCTCCATCCTCCTCCTGGGATTTCGGGCACGCACGCCCACTCCCCACGTGCCCAGTGTGATTCCTAAACCGCTGGGTCAGGCTCAACCCGTGGGCAACCATGTGGGAGCGCGACGCCTCAACCACCATGCCACCTGTTGGCCCCAACCTTGGCAGGTGTTTTTTTCCCCTTTAAGTTATTTATTTTATTTTATTTTTTATTATTATTCAATTTGACGAGAGAGAGACAGAAAGAGAGGAAGAGAGACAGAGAGAGGGAGAGAGAAAGAGAAAGCAGGCTCCAGGTTCAGGTCTCGAACCGCAGTCTGCCATGTGGGAGTCCAGCGCCCCAGCCTTGGCAGCTCGGAAGAACTGGCCTGGTGTTTTGTGTGCATCCCTCAGTCAGGGCTGCCTGATGCCTTCACAGTGAGGCTGGGCTGGGGCCCTGGGGTCAGCCGAGGCAGAGTCACTGTCGCATCCCTAGGCTCTGCCGAGTCCTGCCCAGAGCAAGGTGGGGCCGCCGTGGTCGTCCTCACAGCGAGGCAGCCGCTGGGACAGGTCCCGCCCTGCCAACACACCTCACCGTGCACAGCTGCACCGCGGGGGTGAGCCGGCCCTGGGCCAGGGCTCGTGTGACCGGGCAGGTGTCCTGGCTCTTGTCTGAGGTGAGCCCTGGCGTCACGCGGCTGCCTCAGCGCTGTTAGGGTGTCGAGCTCCCGCCTCGACAGGAACCAGGAATGGACAAGACGCAGCCTCTTCTGCAGTCCGGGCTGGGCCGCGACTAAGGTGGGGCCAGCTCTGGAGTGGAGGGAACTGCCCTGGGGTGGGAAGCCCCAGCCGTCACCACCACGTCCAGTGCCAGCTGGGAGGTCGTGCGTGTCTCCCCACACCTGGGCGAAGCACACAGGTCCCCAGAATTAAGCAGAGGCAGGAGGGATGCAGGTGCTGGTGAGAGGCCTGGCAGCGGGGAGGTCGCCGCGCTCGAGCCCTGCTCCCTGGGTACGCGTCCCTGAGGCTGTCCCTGCCACGCAGCGACCCTGTGGGACACGCCCCGGCTCAGGTGCCCTGCTCACCAGGACCCGCCTGTGCCTGCCCTGCGGCTCACACTGCTGTGTCTGCTCCCCAGCTGGCAGCCGCCCTTCTGGAAAAGGAAGCCATAAACTACGAGGACATCGAGGCCCTCATTGGCCCGCCGCCCCACGGACCTAAGAAGATGATCGCCCCTCAGCGATGGATCGATGCCGAAAGGGAGAAACAGGACTCTGGGGAAGAAGAGGCAGCGCGGCAGCCCCCGCTCTGAGGGCAGCCATCCCGGCCCACGCAGCCGGCCTCCCTCGGTCCCGCATCTTCTCACTTGAGCTGTGAGCCCTTGGTGGTCTATGCCATGGCCCCAGAGATGGCTCATCGACCTCCCTGTGCATGGCTAGTAAATCTCTTGGCAGAGAGAACTGACCTTTGCTCTCTCCTGGGGAAGGGGAGGGTACCAGTCCTCCTTACGAGCATCCGTGTGACAGTGCCTGAGTCCCCAGGGCCGTAGACACCACGAGAGCCGTGCACACTCAGACTGGACAGGTCCCCTGTTCACGCCCGAAGCCTGTGCGTGGCCCGTCCCAGTCCCTGCAACTCCCCAGAATGTTAACGGCCCCACAGCGAAAGGGTCCTGCGAGCTGGCTGTCGCGTCCTCACTGGGCTGTCGATTCAGTTACCACCACCAGCTGCTGTGTGGACGGGTGCGAGTCGAGACCACGTCCACACTGCATGGGCGATGCGTGGCCTTTCCTGCGTTGAGAATTGCCATGACACTTGACTAACCAGTTCTGTGGATGGCAGGGCCAGCTCACAGGACACTGTCCGGATGTGATTCGATTCTTGGAGTGGCCAGGCGAGTCCCTCTGTGGGAACCTGGGGCCCCGACCACATAGGCACAGAGATTAGGCCCACAGTGGGCTCAGCTCACTGTCGAGGGTGACGTGCTCCCGGCATGCCCTCCCTGTGTGGTGTGCGAAGAGCCTTCGTGACGGTCACGCTGGCAGGTTGCTGTCTCTTGTGTGGTGCCTCAGGAGAGCGGGCCAGGCGTGCTCCTCGGGGCTGCCCTGACAGGCCTTTTCCCTGCCTTCCAGCGGCCGCCTCTGCTGTGGAGCACACCCAGCCGAGTCTGGCACCTGTGACCACGTGTGCCCTGAGCCAGCACAGTCAGGGCCCGCAGAGCGGAACAGGGCATCGGCACAGCAGAGCCTGCCTCCCCAGCGTGCCAGTGAGCGTGTGCACCTCGGGGCTCCAGATCTGTCACAGCCCGCACTTGTGCTCACACACAGGTCTGAGCGGCACCTCGGCCCGCTGAGACCGCACTGGCCCTTACACTCCCGGAAGGTCCCGGAGGCAAAGGGGCTTCAACAGTAGCACACGGCCTCTGCAGCCACTGCGCCATCCCCGGGGAACATGAGAGGCCCCTAGGACCACAGAGGAGCCAACCTGAGGCCTGAGCACCCACCCCAGCCAGCAGAGCCAGGGCAGTGAGGCCTGACGGGGCAGGAGAATGAGGCCGTCTCGTGTTCTTTAAGTAGGTAATGTACGTTTAACACACAAAGCCCCACAAGGCCATCAACTACTGAGTGTGGCCAGACAGTGGCACAGCCGTGAAACGCAGTGCTCGTGAGGCAGCCTGGTGGGAAGCTTTCCAATGCATCTGGAGACCTGTTTGCTGAGCGCGTGGTTGCCTGTGCTCTGGGGCCGGCTGCAGCTGGGGGCCACCCCATTAGGGGGTGCTGTTGCTTTCTCTTTTTCTCTCAGGAAAAATACACCATAAACTTGGAAAAATTTTGGTTAAGAATAGTAAAAGAGGGCCAGTCCCATGGCCTAGTGGTTAAGGGAGCTGGAACCCACATAGCCAACTGTGGTTTAAATCTAGCCCCAGAGGCTTGGAAACATGTGTTCCCAGAACCCTGACTGGGGAAATGGGGGAGGAGGGGTTGCAGAGTGACTGTGCCCGCTGGGGGTGGGGGGGTCTTTCCTCCCCTCCCTCTCTGGCAACCATGCATCTTCTGGCTCATGAAGGAGATGCATGGTTGAAGTTAAAGGAGAAGAGTTAACTTCAGTTCTGAAACCGTCGGCTTGTTCTCCACTCTGACCCACGTGCATCACCAGACCTCTGGCCAGCTCATAGCGGTGCTCGTTCTCACCGACAGCGTCTCGTGCCGGCAATTTCTGCTTGGCCCAGGTCTAACTTCTGTGCACACCGTGGGTTTCCGAAGCACAGGCTGGACGGCCGCCCTCCCGTGATGGGACCTTGCTCACAGCTGCTGCTCCTCCCTGTACTTGCCGGCCCGTGCACAGGGACGGACACTGTCAGAATGGAGACTCTCTTTGCTTCTGTGATGGCCATAAAAACATTAAGATTGGGACCAGCAGTGGGCATAACGGCTATGTCGCTGGACTCCCACGTAGTCGACCGCGGTTCGAGTCCTGGACCCCATGGCTTAAATTCTCACCAGGCGCATGTGTGTGCGTGCCCAAGATCCCGAGAGGAGAATGGAGAAGGGATTGCGGCATGGCCATCCCCCCTGGGGGGTGATTTCTTGCTTTCTGTCTCTGTCTCTTTCTGGCGAGCGCACGCACCCTATAGCAAAAACCTCTCCCCTCCAAAAAAAAAAAAAAAAAAAATTAAGATTGTCTGGAAAGGGTTTCGAAGCTTTAAGACAAGTCGTTACTGTTTTGGGTTTTTCTTTCTGTCATAGAGTGTGTGCTTCCCAGAGGGGTGGCGTCTCCTCCACGCTCCTCTCAGGATTTTGGGCACTTACGCACATGTGCCTGGCATGATTCCCGGGCCACCGGGTCTGGGACCTGAACCACGCAATCGGCCACGTGGAATGTAGCACCTTAGCCTTTACAGTCCTTCGGAAGAGTCCATGACCCTTGGGAGGTCAGCACCAGCAGGATGTGAGGAGCAGGGCGAGAAGAGGGCAGTGCAGGTGCGTTTGGGGAATCCAGAAGCCCCTGCCAAGCACACACCTCCCATCCAGGCCGTCTGTCCGGGGTCCCTGGTTCTTGGCCGAGATGCACCAGATGCATTAACTGACCTTTCCAGTAACCTCTGCACACCTAAACAGGACAGGTGCTCTCAAGGGGAGTTATGCCTGGAAGCTAAAGACCTTTTTGTTTAAGAAGTTTTTGTTTTTGTTTTTGTTTTGCCTCAGGGGAGCGTGCACTCACCAGAAACGGGGAAAGTGAGAAATCACCCCCAGGGTGGATGACCACATCACAGTCCCTCCATTCTCCTCCCGGGACCTCGGGCACGCTCAGACATGGCAGTGTGATTTTTAAGCCACCGGCTCAGGGACTCACAGCCGCGCACACCTGTGTGGGGCCCCTCCGCATAACCACTACGCCATCTGCTGCCCTGCTGACAGTCTTTAAAAACCCTTGTGGGCCAGCAGGTGGCATGGTAGTTGAGGTGCTGGACTCCCACATGGCTGACCACGGTTTGAGTCCCAGACCTGGCAGCTTGCTTTCTCACTGTCCCTTTTTGTCTCTGGTCAAATTAAAATAATTGTAATAATAAGTAAAATTGAATAAGTCATTCTTTAGAGAATTACTTTATTTACTAATTTTAATTTTTTAAAAGAATTATTTACTTAATTTTATTCATTCATTCAAATCTGACAGAGACAGACACAGAGAGAATGTGAAAGCCACCAGGTCCGGGACGTGAACCGTGATCATCCATGTGTGAGTGTCCAGCAACTTAACCACCACGCCACCTGCTGGCCCCCTAGTATTTATTTTAATTTGACCAGAGAGGGACAGAGTAAGAGAAAGTGAGAGAGAGAGGGAAAGGGAGGAAGCCCATCGGCCGGTCTGGGACTCGAACTACAGTCAGCCGTGTGGGAGTGCTGCACCCTTAGCACCATGCCACCTGCCGGCCCCAAAATAAGTAATTTTTTAAAAAGAATTATTTTACTCAACTTTATTAGTTATTATTATTATTTCCCAGTTTCATCAGAGGCAGAAAGTGAAAAAGCAAGCCACCAGGTCCAGGACTTGAACTGCAGTTGGCCACGTGGGACCTTTAACCTTTAACCACCATGCCACCTGCCGGCCCCAAAATAAGTAATTCTTTATAAAATGAAACCTTCCACCAGCCAAATCTGTATGAGAACTGCTACTTTATTTTTGGTTCTTTAAAGAACTAGTTTCAGCAGAATTTTTTTTTTTGAGAGTTTTTTTTTTTCCACTATAGGGCGCGTGCGCTCACCAGACAGAGACATAGAGACAGAAAGCGAGAAATCACCCCCCAGGGGGGATGGTCACGCCGCAATCCCTTCTCCATTCTCCTCTCGGGATCTTGGGCACGCACGCACACGCGCCCGGCGTGAGTTTTAAGCCACCGGGTCCGGGCCGCGAACCATGGTCCACTACGTGGGAGTCCAGCGACAGCCATTACGTTAACTGCTGGTTCCCGAATTTCTTTTTTTTTAAGAGAGATTTTTTTTCTGTAGGGAGCTTGTGCTTGCTGGAGTTAGAGACAGAGAAAGAGGGTGAGAAGTCGCCCCCAGGCAGGCAGTTCCTCCATTCTCCGCAGGATTTGGGGTATACACGCACACGCACCCGGTGGGAGTCTCAAGCTATTGGGTCTGGGATTTGAACCGCAGTCAACCATGTGGGAGATCAGCACTTTAACCACAACATCATCTGCTGCCCCCCCCTTTTTAAAGAATTAATTTATTATTTTAATTCACTAAACAGAGCAAGCGAGAAAACAAGTCTCGGTCCATGACTCAAACCAGTCGGCCATGTGAGAGCGCCTTAACCACTACTGCAGTTACGGCCTCAGTTTTCAGCAGAATTTATCGTGGCTTTTTCTGCCCTGATTTTTACACTTTTCAAAGGAAGGCTGTGTCTGTGTGGCCGGATTCTGCAGTTTGGTCGACTTCTGCCGAGTGAGGGCTTCGAATCACAGCTTTGCCGCCTGACCATCTTGATTCTTAGCACCTCTTTTTTTTTTCTAGATTTTTAAAAAATATATTTATTTTAATTTGACCAGAGAGGAACAGAGCCAGCGTACGAGAGAGGGGAAAGTAAGAAACCAAGCCTCCAGGTCTGTGACGTGGCCAATGGTCTGCCATGCGGGGGTCCAGCGCCCTTAACCACTACGCCACCTGCCGGCCCGACTCTTGGCACCGTCTAAGTTGGGACTTCTAGCCTGTTTCCCTGCTGCATGTCCCAGGGCAGCATCTTCTTTTCAATTTTCCAGGGGGCGTATGCACTCACCACAAACAGAGTGGGAAAGAGAGAAAAAGGAAGAAAGCGCCCCCCCATTCAGCCACCAGTGGCATAGTGGTTAAGGTGGCTGGACCCCACATGGCCAACTGCTTGATTTGAATCCTGGACCCAGTGCCTTGAAAACACGCAGAGCACAGGTGCACACATGCCCAAACCCCAAGAGCAGAATGGAGAAGGGGTGCATCATGGTTACCCCCATGAGGCTGCTTTCTCACTGTCTGCAGTGAGCACACGCAAGTGTAAAAAGAAAGCACACACACACACCCCCGCACAGGGAGTCGCCACGACAGAATCCTCTTCATCTGTCCCTCTTTCCGGATTCCGGGCATGCGTGCATATGGGCCTGCTGTCCTTCAAGCTGTCAAGTCCAGGACTCGTAAACAGTTGCCCACGTGGGATCCAGGTCCTTAATCACCACCCCCAGGGCAGCATTCGAATTGCAAGCAGCTGGAATTTAGGTGGAAATGGGTTAGGGCAGTTAGAGTTGACCCGAGTCAGCGGTCTGTCCAGAATATTCAGTAATGGAGACAGGGGTGTTGGTGGTCACAAAAGTTATCTCTGTCCCTGGTGGGAGCACTGAAAGGGGCTGAGAAGGGGGAGGCCAGGGCAAGCGTCTACTCCACAAACCTTTTCCCGTAGCTGTGCTGCAGTTACACTCAGAATGGAGTGGGTGCGGCTCGCACCCGCCCCAGGGGACAAAGCCACTGTGAAGCCGGGCGGGTTTCACCTCAGCTCTGTGGTGCACCGTTCACTTCCCAGCCCCTACCTTGCTGAAGGTCCTGCCCCTGCTCCCAGTCAGGCCCCCAGGAGGGAAGCCGTGGTGTGGTACCGAGGTGCCCCGCTGGCCCTGATCCCGCGTGCTGGGCCTTCGCAGGTCACCCTGCAGCAGCGCGGCCAGGCGAGTGCAGGTGCCTGGCCCAGGCAGCTCAGCCCCCATCCTTTTTTTTTATTTTTTTGGAGAGGTTTTTGCTATAGGGTGTGTGCTTTTGCAAGAAAGGCAGAGAGAGACAGAAAGTGAGAAATCACCCCCCAGGGGGATGGCCACGCCGCAATCCCTTCTCCATTCTTCTCTCGGGATCTTGGGCACGCCCGGCATGAGTTTAAACCACCGGGTCCAGGACTCGAACTGTGGTCGACTACATGGGAGTCCAGTGACATAGCCATTACGTCAGCTGCTGGTCCCTAGACCCCCTCCTGACTCTGGGCCGCTGACAGTTAACGGTCTGTCTCTGGAAAAGGACAGACTAAAGCAAACGTTACGTGTTAACGTCACATGTACAGCCCGTGCTCGCCAACAACTGCGGGCAAGCAGGCCGGCGGTGCCTGCTCCGTGGTCGAGCACACTCGGACCAAGTGGGAGAGCCGGGTCCCTCCCGCGTTGCTAAGTGCAGTCGTGAGGCTACGTGTGCTCTTACGCGTCTTTCCCAGATAATACGTTGTAAATTCTGAGTCTCAACCTGACTTTTTAAAGAATTAATTTTATTTATGCATTCATTTTTTTAATTTTTAAAAATCTGAGCAGAGAAAAGTGAGCCACCAGGTCTGGGACTTGAACCGTGGCTGGCCATGTGGAAGTGTCCAGTGCCTTTGCCACACCACCTGCTGGTCGCACAACCTGATTTTTTTTTTTTTTTAAGAATTATTTTATTCAACTTATTTTCATTTGGTCAGAGTAAGTAAGTAAGAAAGCAAGCCGCTAGGTCCAGGACTCGAACCGTGGTCAACCCTGTGGCAGTTAGCCACCACGCCCCCTGCCGCCCCTTACCCCGATTTTTCTAACACGCAAGCCTGTCTCAGTGAGGCGGAGAGGGCCTCCAAGTTTCACGTGTCATGAAATTCCTGCCGTGCACACGGCAGGTATGAGCGCGCATGCCCACTCCCGGGCCCAGGCCGAGCCCCCGCAGCCCTGGCGTGGCGCCGACTGTGCGCCTTACCCCCCGCGCAGGGCCGGAAGCCCCGGGCGGCTCCTCCGGCGGAACCAAGCATGCCGGTCGCCGGCGCGCACGGACCAGCTCCGTGCCGCACCCGGTGTCCCGGGCGTCCATGACTACGGGCCCGGCGTGGGGAGGAGCGTCGCTGAGACGTCACTTCCTTTCAGTGCTGATTGGTCAGGACTCCCCGCCACCTCTGATTGGCCGGGCCGACAACCATCCCAGTTTGCTTTGCGGTGTCGCTTCCTTTCCGCTCGGCCGTTCTCCCGCAGAGGTGAGTGAGCGTGGTGCTGCCGCGCGCTATCGGGGTCCATCGCCGCCATCGAGCCGTGGAAGGGCCTCGTGGTCGCCGCGGACGGGTGGCCAGGGATGGAGGGATCGGGACGCAGATCCGCGGGGCGCGCGCGGCCGGCCCGGGCGCTGACTCCCTCCCTGCCCCCCCCGCGCCCTGGCCGTCGGCAGCCATGC